CTGGGGGCTTGGACCTTGCCCTGGGGCCCTGACCTTTGACCCTGGGGGTTGACCTTTGCCCCTGCGGTCTCGGAATTTGCCGCTGCGGTCTCAGAATTTGCCCGTGCGGTCTTGGAATTTGACCCTGCGGTCTTGGAATTTGACCCTGCGGTCTTGACCTTCAGCCCTCGGTTCCTACTGCTGGCCCCGGAGGTCCCTGCACTTGACCCCGGGGTCTTGAGTCTTGACGCTGTGGTGCTGACTTTGGACACTGGGTCCCAGGCTTGGACTTGTGTCCTCGCCGCCGACCCTTGTCCCAGAATTATGGAGCCGGGGTCTGAGCTTTTGAGATCCAAGCTCGGAATCCTGAGTCCAGACTCTGATCCTGACCTCAGAGTTCCTTAACGTCTCCTGACTGGTTTCTCTGGTCTCTTTAGAGGGCAGCAGCCTGATCCTCGCTCCAGAATACTGTCCCTGGAGAACATCAAGCCCCCGGGGACGAACAATCTCTCCCCATAGAGAAGAAGGTGGCCCAGAGCTCAGACAGCAGGACACCACACTCATTGCCCTACCCATGGATCAGGACCGAGAATCCGAAATCAGGCAAATTAAAACAGAAGTCTTGACAAGAAGTGGAGAAAAAAACCAAACGGGCACATTACCAAGACAGTCACCAATTTTGCCCTGTGTCATCTCACGGTTCAGCGCAAGAAAAAGATCTGTTTTCTGTCGCCCTAAACCAAACCCCAAGTCATAGCCTCTGCCCCTCTCAACCCTCTATCGATGATTCCACAGCAAAAGCTCCAAAGCCGGCCTCTAACCCTTGAAGACCCCAATCAAGGCTGGTCACCCTGACAGGTCACCCTGACCCGTTACCCTGAGAGTTGACCCATGGGTCTTGACCTTTGACCCAGGAGTCCTGGCCTTTAACCTGGGGGTCCTGACCTTTGACCTGGGGTCCTGACCTTTGACCCTGTGGTCTTCACCCTTGACCCTGGGGTCCTGGCCTTTGACCCTGGGGGCTTGACCCTTGACCCCGGGGTCATGGCCTTTGACCCTGGGGCCTTTGGTTCTGTCACTGTGGTCTTCGGCTTTGATACTCTTGCCTGGAAGTTGCACAGTGGGGTCCTGACCCTTGTCCCTGGGGTCTTGACCTGTGACCCTGGGGACTTGACCCTTGACCCGTTGGCCCTGACTTTGACCCGGGGTCCTGACCTTTGCTACTGAGGCCTTTGGTTTTGCCCCTGGGGACTTGGACTTTGACCCTTGGGTCCTGGTCTTTGACCCTGGGGGCTTCACCTTTGACCCTGGGGTCTTGACCCTTGACCCTGGGGTCCTGGACTTTGACCCTGGGCCCTTTGGTTTTTCCACTGGGGTCTTTGGCTTTGATATTGGTGCCTTCAACTTTCACAGTGGGGTCCTGACCCTTGTCCCTGGGTTCTTGAGCTGTGACCCTGGGTTCTTGACCTTTGACCCTGGGGCCCTTACCTTTGACCCTGGTGGCTTGACCTTTGGCCCTGGGGTCTTGACCCTTGACTCTGGGGTCCTGGCCCTTGACCCTGGGGGCTTGACCCTTGATCCCGGGGTCCTGGCCTTTGACCCTGGGGCCTTTGGTTTTGCCACTGGGGTCTTCGGCTCTGATATTGGTGCCTTCAGCTTTCACAGTGGGGTCCTGACGCTTGACCCTGGGGTCTTGACCTTTGACCCGGTGTCTTGAGCTTTGACCCGGGGGCCCTGACCTTTGACCCGGGTTCCTGACCTTTGCCCCTGAGGCCTTTGGTTTTGCCCCTGGGGGCTTGGACTTTGACCCTGGATTCCTGACCCTTGTCCTGGGGGTCTTCACCTTTGACCCGTGGTGCACGACCTTTGACCCGGGGTCCTGATCTTTGCTCCTGAGGCCTTTGGTTTTGCCCCTGGGGCCTTGGGCCTTGACCCTGGGGTCCTGACCTTTGTCCCTGGGTGCTTGGCCTTTGACCCTGGGGTCTTGACCCTTGACCCTTGCACTTTTCCCACCAAATCGTTACATACAAAATAATACCTTAAAACATTTTTAAATGGTCAGGGCTTTATTAAATATAAAATAGCTGTGTTGGGTTAGCATAAAGGAGAACCCATGTCCGTTGCTAGGAATTCTTCCTCAGCTGCCCTCTCAACCCAGTTCCCCCCAGGTGCCCTGGGAAGCCAAGAGAAACACTCCAATACGTATGAATGGGAAAGGCGGGGATGGCTGCTTTAGTGCGCTGGGGAAGAAAGTGCTGAACTGAAGCAAAAAAACATTTCCCTGCATGGCATTCAGAAAAGCAGGGGATAAGTTAAGATCTATATTGCTGCCTTGAAAATAAAAGCTGTGTATTGAAAAAAAATCCTCCCCATTTAAGGTCAGCGATTTCATTCAGGCTATGCAAACCTTCAATGAAGCAGAGCAAATGTAAAGCTACACTCTGAAAATTAATTTTGCCGCTAGCTGTTAGAAGCAGAAAAGACCAACTGTCTTGTGACTAACATTGTGATGGTATTTTTCTCCCCTCCAGTCAATAATGGAAATTCCAGGATCACATAACACAATGATAGAACCTTAACCCTTGCACAATCCCAAGGATTTAAGATAACTGGATTTGAAGTGCAAATACTGTTTCGTGGCTTTTATTATTTCAAAGACAGCACTTGTATTGAGCTATTGGGAGCCCACATTCCTTTTTCGTAGGCTACTACTGCTCTGCTCTCTTAACTGAGAATGTGCTGACAGAATGCAAGGTGGAGTTTTGACTGCATCATGGCTTTGAAGCCAGATACATCCCAAAGCATTGTTTTCTCTGCTCCCTCCTCCTCCTCCTCCTCTCCTGCAAGGCACTTCTGGACTGTACAGTTCATGCTCTTTGGCTGCTAGTTTGGTGAGAAACGTGAGGCCCGTCACACCTCCTCTTTCAAGTTACTAGCCTCACACTCCTGCTTTTTATCTGCTCCTTGATCAGATGACTTTGTAGAGCTTTCGTCATACGCAGATAAACGACTTCGGCTCCGAGCCCCTGGCTGGTAGAGCTGCATGGCTGGTCGATCCTGAAACAACAAGAATATATTGTACAGGATGGTCTGCTTCCAGCTGAAAGGAATTAATTGTTATACCAGACAGACAGGAGTTCAACAAGCTCAACCTAGTCATGAAGTTGGCTGGGTGAACCTGGATTTAATTAACCTATTTTCAAGAAGGTTTCTTTCAGGAGGAATGTGTAATATAGTCCTAGGAATGACACCCAGAATGCTTTAGAAAAAGTAGAGAATGTACACTGCAGTAGTAAGGAATCAAACCAATAATTCCTACAGCTAGTTGGAATTCTTGGCATTCTCACCTAGAAGCAATATGAAATTTCAGAATGTTTTAGAATTGTAAAGTCAACTTTCCTTATGGACAATCAACCATAATGAATTAACATCCCTCAATATCTATGTAGTTGACTAAAAAGAATGACCTATTTGCAGTTTCTACCTGTCTATTGTACTGAGGTGTAATGAGGTAATATAGAATCAGCACCTTATTTCGAATCCGGTCTTTCTTTGCCAAATCGTCTCTTTTCTCCTCCTTGGACCCCTTCTCAGCTTTCTCTGTATTGCCCATGTACTCCATGAAATCGGCTCTTTTCCCTTTTTCTCGCAATGAGTCTCGTTCCCTTTTCACATCTTCCTCTTTTCTCCTGAAAACCTTCTCTTTCTCAAAGCGTTCTTTCTGCCTCCTACGCTCTTCTTCTTGGCGCCGGAGTTTATCTCGCTCTCGCTGAATTCTCTCATATTCTCTATCCCGGTCATATTCTCTTTCTCTGTAATCTTTCCCACACTCATCTTCAAATCTGTGACAAAGACATTGGGAGAGTCAATTTGAGGTTGGGGAATATCAACGGTACAGTCTTGCCCTCATTTGTCAATTGAGCATCCTGGATTTTACACAGAATTTCTAATGGAATTTTTTTTTTTAAAGGGGGTTACAACAAATTCCTTGACAATTTATATGAATAACCGCAAGACATTAGAAATCAAAAGTTTCACACATTATATAGTCTGCAGCCTAAGTTTCCAAATGAAAGTACTTTTAAATGATATATGGGATACATATGATTTCCCATTCAGAGTTTCCATTTTGAAGTTTACAGTTCATATCACACTATAAATTAACTTGACAGTCAACTGTTACTTCAAAGTTACTTTGAAATGGTGAGGCAGATCAAATAGTGACCTTCTTCACATAAATTTTAGTGCAAACTCTAGAAGGTGAATTTTGGGGTAAGGCACCAAATTAACCGGCATGGTCTGAGAAACAAGGATACGTACTGCAATGGGTACACTAGCTTTTTGGCCTTTTCCTCTTTAGCTTCTCCATCAGAGCGCTTGGCTGGCAAGCTACCAATTGGGCTGGCAGCCTTTTCCTCCCTCAGACTCTCTTTCTCCAGTCTCTTGACCTTTTCCTTTTTTTCAAAGTCTCTTTCATCCTTTTCTGGCTTCTTAAGTAGCTAGGAAGAAAACAAATTTAGTCTTCCTCACTAAATTGATTTTCTACGCTAAGCTAGGCTAGCAACTTGGCCTATTGTTAACAAGATTAAACATAACATAAGGATTGCCATAATAGATTGCTCCTCTTCATGGACCTATATGAGGCCTTAAACAATCAAAGGTGCAATCTTGCGTTGGCTTCCTCCAGTCAAGTCAGTGTACTTCCTCCCTGGCAGAGGACTACAGGGTTATATCCTTATTCCATCTCCGCCTCAGATTGTCATCACTAACAGCTTGCGCAATAAAGATCATGCCTACTTATACTGCCACCAACAGATTTATCACTATTTGTTTATATAATGACATTGAACTACATAACTTTTTACAGAGTAATATATAATTGTAACACGTATTAGTACCTGGAAAAATTTATAGTCTAGATTGAAACATGAGAAAATCAGAGGCAAAAAAGGGAAGTATGAAAACTCAAGATCAGAGTCAGAAGTGTGTGAGCAAAGACATTCACACAGGCTTGAAGCTTTGACTAAGTCATTTCATACTCAGCCTCTAAATTACTTATGTCCACAAGGCAATGGCCGGATGCACACACTGTGCTAAGCCACGGCTTCTTTAATCCATTTTTGTAAAATAAGCTAAAATAGCTGGTTAACACATCATGTTAAGCCGAAACCAAACAGACCACATTAAAATTTAGCAGCGAATGTGAACCTAGTTGCTATAATCAAGAGTGGAACCTATTCTAAATAAATATATATTGGGTAGTGCTCTGCACTATGTGGTAAAGCAATCTTAATTACATTTACATATCTATGAATTACAAGGGACTTAAACAAGGCTCTTACATAATATTCCTTATACCTTTTTATTTCACATATGATGTGAACTGAGTTCCATAGACCCTGCTCTTAAATTACACAGAATTAGCTGTCATATTTTACAAATATACATGAGACACAGTATTTATAGATTATTTATCCTACAGGAATGAAGTTATACCTTAATCTTTGGTTCATCCTTTGATTTGTCCCTTTCTTTCTCTGGACATCTCTCCACTTTCTTTGTTTTTTCAGCTTCTTTTCGTTTTCTTCTTTCTTCTTCTTTCCACTTCCTTCTTTCTTCCTCCCTTTGTCTTTTTCTCTCTAGTTCCCGTCTCCTCCTTTCCTCTCGTTTCTCTTCTCTAAGCCTCTGCATCAGAAACATAAAATTAAAGTTAAGTTTTCCAATCAGAAAAATCACCTGACCTGAAGTTAACTGGAATGATCTTGTTCCTAAATTAAGAAGCATTATTAAATTACAAAGATAAGAGAGCCAGTTTGGTCTAGTGGTTAAAGCTCCAGGCTAGAAACCAGGAGACTGTGAGTTCTAGTCCTGCCTTAGGCATGAAAACTGGCTGGGTGACCCTGATGGGCCAGTCATTCTCAGCCCCAAATATCAGGCGTGGGTGACAAGTCGGTTGGTCAATTCCTGTTGCAATCAATGGATCAACATTTGGTTGATCTGGAAAAAAAGCAGACCTTGCACTTGCAGGAAAAATGCTAGGAAGAAAAAAAAATTAAATTTCAAACTTTAGAGCATCTAAGCACTAGAACAATTATCTTTATCTAAACACACACACACACACACACACA